TATGTGCTATAAATATTGAACAGCAATAATGAGTTTATGCATTTACCTTAATTACCTGAGTTGATTAAATTATCAATATAAAACAAAACACATCATTATATTCTTCCAAATCCTAGTTCATATAATTTAAGGGTAATACAGGATTGTTAAAAGCAAATAAATGATCATGTCAAACAAACTGGGCTGGAATCTGAACTCTTCTATTTACTAGCTGTGTGACCTGGGACATGTTACGTACCTTCTGTGTGCCTCAGTTTCATAAGCTGTAAAATAGGGATGATAATAATACATATTTTGGAAATAATGTATGAGATAGTTCTTGTAATGTGCTTATCTTATTAGTGTAGTGCTTGAGATATATACCAAATGCCCAATAAATTTATTATTATACTAAATCACATGTGACTTTAAATACATGAACCTATAACTAGCTAGCTCTACCTTCATGTGATGTGTCTGCTACTGTTAATTTCCTGTCTCTGCAATGCAGTTTTTGAGTTTTATTTCTAATAATATAAGTATAAAATACTTGGCATCCTGTAGTCTAGTAACGCCAGTTGTCTGACATTTGGCAAATTGAAAGTAATTCAGAAAATCCTAATGGTCTAGAACCTATGGCTAGCAGATTTGTTATGATTAGTTTCATAGTACATTGGTGATGAGATTTGTTAACTTGGAAATTCCTCAAGACATGGAATAAAAGGAGGAGAAGAGCCTAAAAGTAAATTATCCTGGCATCAACCTAATGATTATACAACAAAATTTGTTGAATTTGCTTGGTCCAACAGTCACTACATTGCTACAGAAGCAATAATCTACAGAGTATCCTGAATAATTTATGTCAGGGGAAAAAAAAAACCCCAACACCTATGAGCAGAAACCCAGATATTTAAGAGAGCATCAAAGATCCCTATGATTCTCAGATCTCTTGCTGCCTTAATTTCAGCTACTGTTCTACATTGGGATGTTGATATTACTGAAGATAAGCCTGGTGTCCTAGCTCTGGGAGCTAAAGATGCTCTCAGGTTAAATACCTGATTAGTAGCATGGCTATAGAGTGGAAAGTAGTTTTAAGTGAACATTTAAAAAACATTTTTACCAACACAGTAATTTATTTAAATTTAATTCAGTGAAAAATTTTTATTAAGGTAATACCAGTCTTAATAAATGAAGAGTTATGCTTTTTGAAATGTCACACTCTAATGGTGTAGGGAAGTGAAGGATTACTCATCTTTTTAAAATGGGCTTTTTGGGGTGCCTGAGTGGTTCAGTTGTTAAGCATCTGCCTTTGGCTTAGGTCATGGTCCCAGGGTTCTGGGATTGAGCCCCACATTGGGCTCCCTGCTCGGCGGGAAGCCTGCTTCTCCCTCTCCCACTTCCCCTGCTTGTGTTCCTTCTCTTGCTGTGTCTCTCTCTGTCAAATAAATAAAATATTTTAAAAAAATAAAATAAAATGGGCTTTTTGGGTGCCTGGGTGGCTCAGTCAGTTAAGTGTCTGCCCTCGGCTCAGGTCATGATACTGGAGTCCCAGGATCAAGTCCCACATCGGGCTCCCTGCAAAGTGGGGAGTCTGCTTCTCCCTCTGCCCTTCACCCTGCTCGTGCTCTCTCTCTCGATCTCTCAAATAAATAAAATCTTTAAAAAAAATAAAAAATAAAATGGGCTTTTTTTTGTTTTGTTTTAACCCATTGGTTCCTGGTTCCTGATTGGGTCAAGGAAGAACTTTAGGGAGGTGAGTAAAAGAATGGCCTAGCAGCCTTGATGCAGGGTTTACCTGTTCCTTTAATGTTTGGCAAACATAATGGAATATATTTATTTTAGACCATTTTCCCCCCACATGTTTCTCAAATGTGCTTCATGCCTTCTTTCTTTGAGAAGGTTTAAAATTTCATTTTTATTTTAATTGTCCTTAAAATCTATATAAGCACAATCAAGGTATTCTTGATCAAGGTATTAAATCAGATACCAAAGAGTGGTAAGGGGTGAGAATATTAGTAGTTTTTTTTAATCTGTAAAAGGAAAGAAGTTATGCTTTACTAATACTCATTATATATATTTAAAGTAGCAAATACATATGACGTACAAATTAGTAGATATATATAGGTATGTCTTTGTATTTTTTTAACTTAACAGGAATGCGTGATTTAAAATATGTGGAGGGCGGGCCTGGGTGGCTCAGTTGTTTAAGTGTTTGACTCTTGTTTTTGGCTCATGTCATGATTTCAGGGTTGTGAGATTGAACCCTTGGGCTCAGATAATTAAGATATTATCTCTCCCTCTGCCCCTCCCCTCCCTGCTTGTACGCTCTCTCTCTCTCAAAAAATAAAAATAAAATATGTGGAAACTCATATAAACAACCGACATATTGTTTGGATTCAAACCCAGTTTGAACTTTATACAATTTCTGTGCTCACTTTTTCTTTTGTTTTTTGTTGAGAGAAGGCCATATTGCCATATGCTTTGTGGTGTGATGTAGGTTTTGCAGGGCCTTGAATAGAGTGTGAGGGTTGAGTCATCACACATGGTAGTATAAGATTGCCAGACTGTAAGAATATCATATTCTTGTATCAATTGGATATATTTGAGGGATTTTGTCTTAATTTTAATAAGATACAAAGCAAGTTTCTGTCGTTATTTATAGGAATGTAGTAGTATGTCTTCAGTGTAGATTTATTTTCTTTGGTCAGTGATTGATTTAATACCCACTCAGTAAAGACTTAAATAACTGCTGGGATGCTAACTGGATATTCAAGTGAAAAAGACACTTTAAGAGGAGTCAACAAGTTAGATCTCATAGTAACTGATGTTCGAAGAATATTTATTGGCAAAGTCTTAAATATAAGATCTGATCCCTGAACAGTTGAATAACCTTTGAAATCATCTGTTTCCAGTCCTGTTTTTCTAATTGATTATCCACAAATGAAATGATTTTTAAAAATGTTATGTTAACCGAGGGCTATAGTACTTATATGGAGGCTCAGAATTATCTGCCAGGAAAAATATTGATTGAATTTATGATTTTTTGAAGATTTATTTATTTATTTTAGAGAGAGAGAGAGGAAGCAGGGGGAGGGGCAGAGGGAGAGGAAGAGAGAAAGAATCCTAAGCAGACTCCCCACTGAGCACAGAGCCAGGAGGGAGCCAGAATGATGTGGGGCTTGATCCCACGACCCTAAGATCATGATTTGAGCTGAAACGAAGAGTCGGATGCTTAACTGCTGAGCCCCCCAGGCACCCCAAATTTATAATTTTAAGCTGAAATTACTACTTCTCTATGACTTTGACATTGTATAGATATTGAATGATCACTTAATTTCATAGATTAGAATTTATAACTGTGGAATACTTTTATATTGAGATTTGGAGATTAGTTCAATCTTATTTAATAGTGGAATACTCTTTCTTATATTGAGATTTGGAGATTAGTTCAATCTTATTTAATAGTGGCTTATAACAAAAAAGGTGATTGATAATAACTTAATGTAAGTTAGTCATCTTAAGTTATGAAGAAAGAAAAGATATATTTTCCATTTTAAGAGGAATAACTTTCACCATTCTGTGAGCATGAATCAGTAACAGCTGACGATCTGATCTTTGAATGCAGCAGAGTTGGAACCCTTTCAAAATAGAAATCTAGCCAATTTTCAAGAAAAATCACAATGTTTCAGTTTTGAACTTTAATGTATTTGGAACATATGCAGCAGAACACTTTCTTCTTGCTATCTCCTACCAAACTAATTATGTATACCACATTAATTTTTCCCTTATGTTTGGCAAGCTCAAGTATATGGTAGAATTGCCTGATTCATGTTCACCACTTTTAATGGTAAGATCAAGATTAAAAGTATTTAAGATAAATTTTATAATTTTCTCTCAAAGAAAATATATGCAAAAATGAAAATGTTTCATTCACTCAACAAGATATTTATTGAACACTTACTATATGCCAGGCTCTTTTACTAAGCCCGAGTGTGAGTGATACAGTGGTGAACAGGATAGAGAAAGCCCCTATCCTTAGAGAGCTTATATTCCAGTAGAGGTGGTGGTAGGAGATGATGGGGATTTCAAATTCATAAATGAACTGTAGAAAATAAAACACGTAATGAGAATGGAGTAGCTCAGCTGAGATTGGGATGATAGGAAGATTTGGGAGAAGTCTAAATTTATTTGGTGAGTAGCCCCTAAAGTGGGAAAGGCTTGGCATATTCGGGAAACAGAAATGCCCGTGTGGAAGGAACACAGTGAATGTGGGTGGTAGGAGCTGCAGTTAGAGAGGTAGACAGAAGCCACATTAAGTAAGCCATTTAGACCATGAAAGGAGTTTCAGTTTTCCCTTAATAGGGAGTCTTTGGAGGATTTTAAGTGAGAAAGTTTAATGATTTGACTTATTTCAGAAAGATCACTCTGGTAGTTACAAGGAAAATACCTGTAAGAGGGCAGGAGTGGAAGCAGGAAGCCAGGGAGGGAGCTATTTCAGTATCTAGTCTCTTAGGGAGGTGGAGTGCAGCCAGTGAAGAGTGACTGGGCTGGGGGTGTGTTCCTGTGGCACCCTGATTGCACGTGCATGTTTTCATACTTAAGCACTTGGGGTTCTGAAAGTTAATTTCTTTGCAATATCATAGATTAATATGGACTCTGTAAGTCTTAAGAATGTCAAATATTACTAAAATTAAAAAAAAATGGGGAAGACAGTGTTAGCTCCTTCAACTTCCCTTGGTTCTAGGGCATAAAATACACTATATTGGGAAAAATTTAAGTTGGTAACTTCAAGTTCTGTGGATAAATTCATGCCAGATGGCTCTAATTTCTTTGCTTTAAAGCTTATACTACATCAGGATATGAAAACAATTAAAAAGCTCTTTTTAAATATGTACTCAATAATTATTTTAAGTTATTTTTAATGAAAAGAATGAACATAATTGCCTCATGATAAAGATAAAATGTGTCTGCTCTAACTTACTGGTTTAAGTAGCATATTTACTGAATTTTTTTTTTTCTAGTCACATTGTTCTGATGCTTGCAGACGATATGGCATGCAACCCTAGAAATCCCAAACCAGCTACGGTGTTTAGTCACAAGAATATGGAACTAAATGTGTATGGAGATGATGTGGAAGTGGATTATAGAAGTTATGAGGTAACAATGTTTGATTTAGCAACATTTTTGAAATGTAGTTATCATACTTTTAAACTCTAAAATAGTGGTAGAGGGCGCCTGGGTGGCTCAGTTGGTTAAGCGACTGCCTTCGGCTCAGGTCATGATCCTGGAGTCCCTGGATCGAGTCCCGCATCGGGCTCCCTGCTCGGCGAGGAGCCTGCTTCTCCCTCTAACCCTCCCCCCTCTCATGTACTCTCTCTCTCATTCTCGCTCTCTCAAATAAATAAATAAATCTTAAAAAAAAATAGTGGTAGAATAGTCTTATTTTTATTTCTTTAGACTTTGTACATAATTGTCACTGAAGCCTTGAATATAATTCTGTCTCGAGTTCATATTAAGGAGACAATACATGAGTAAAACTAACACAGCATGAACATTTCATATATGTATCTAGGATAGGACAACTTTATTTTGGCTTTTATATTAGAGTATTTTAGTGAGGTTTCAAATGTATCAACTTTTTTTAACAGTAAATGCATTGTTTGTCTTTCGTATTTGACCTAAAATGTCAAGTTTTGTATATTTAGTATATATATTGAGGAAAAATTAAAATGATTAACAAAAAACTCACCCGTAATTCCACTACTTAGAGGTAATCACTTTTGATATGCTTCCAATGTTTTTATGCATATGATTAAAAATTAAAATGTAAATTTGAAAAATGGGATTATACTGTATTTTCCCCTTTGAAACTTCATTTTAAATTTAATAGGTAGTGAAGATGTTTAAAATTTGAAATCTTCCTTGGTGAAGTCTTCCTCAATAATCCTTCCCCTTTTACCAAGCCTACCAAAAGTAAGACAATTTTCTGTGTTCCCAGACCTGTTTTGAAGCGATTTTAAAATCTTATCTATCTCCTCCCAGCCTGTAAGCTCCTTGAGGATGTGGCCTATGTCTTATGTATCTTATACCTAGCAAGTACCTAGCTTTTGAAGGCACTCAGAAATGTTTGTTCAGTAATTAAATGTGTATGAATGTTGGACGTTCTACTTGTTGATTTAGTCATCATAAAATATAAACCAAAAAGAAGTCCTATTAAAACATTTAGCATTTTGCTGTTTTCTGGGGAAAAATATAAACCGAACATAATGCACATGTGCACAGAAACACGTACATACACATATAATTTATATACTCATGATCTAGGGGAAAGTTGAACAAGAAAGCTAGATAAATTTTCTGCTTTTAAATTTAGATCTGGGTAATATGACTTTAAATATGCTTTCGAAGAATCCTAGAGGTCCACAAATTCCAGGTTGGGAAATCTGGTTTAAAGTGTGATGAATTTTTTACATGTTGAAGATAGCCCTAACAAAATTTAAGTAACAAAATACATTTAAAAAATCAAAGATACACAATTTGGGGATTATTTATGGAACTGTCTTTATGGTTTTATTTTTATGATTCATTATGGACCTATCTTTCAAGGTTTATCTAGAATTCACTAGGTAGTTGTACCAGTCAACTGCAATAGTTATAATGTTGCTGAATTTATTTACAAGTTTCTTTATTTTGTATTTTCCCAAAGAATTACCTATGAAGACATTAATAATTTTTAAATTTTGGGCAATATTTTGCATAGCATTTAAAGTTTTAAATTTAATTAACTGATTTTTCCCCAGGACAGTTTCGTTAGCTGTTAGGATTTAATGGAAGCAAGTTAACTTTGAGGTATATATTTAAATAAATATATTTTAATTGAGTTATATTTCGCTTTATGCTTTGTTTTCACTTTATGCTGAGTAACATATAGAGAAAGAAGAAGGAATGCTTTTGAAAATAAAAAAAAAATTAATTACATTTCCCCTGGTTCTGTTTCATCCCCTGATTTCTTCTTCTTTTTTTTTTTTTTCAGGTAACTGTGGAGAATTTTTTACGGGTATTAACTGGAAGGATCCCACCTAGTACTCCTCGCTCAAAACGTCTTCTTTCTGATGATAGAAGCAATATTCTTATTTATATGACAGGTAATTTGAGAATTTAGATATTTAGAAATAGAATATATTGTGACTCTCCTCAAGAAGAAATCTTCATGGAAAGAAATTTAAACACCTTAAATGAATTTTGGTTAAAATAATTTGTTTTGTAGTTCTCTTTTCTCATATGACAATTTGAAATGATATTTGGAGACAGTATAACATTTTATACTGTCCCTCAGTTTATTATCTCTATTTTTTTTTTTTTTACTATTACCCTGGTAAAGCTTGTTACCTTTTATTTAGTATCTCTGCTATAGCCTTGTTGCCTTCACTTTTGTCTCCTGTTAATCATCCTACTGAAGTAGTTAATAAAAATTGCAAATCTGTCCTTGATTTCTGTAAAACTTTACAATGGTTTCCGGTTGATGGAGTCTCATATTTTAGTGTGTATAAAGATTATTTGAATGCAGATACTCAGGTCTTTAAAATTCTGATTTAGTTTTGGGTCAGGGTAGGGCTTATGAAACTGCATTTTTTTGTTTTTAAGATTTTTTGACAGAGAGCGAGAGAGGGAACATAAGCAGGGGGAGTGGGAGAGGGAGAAGCAGGCTTCCCACTGAGCAGGGAGCGATGCAGGGCTTGATCCCAGGACCTGAGCTGAAGGCAGACGCTTAATGACTGAGCCACCCAGGTGCCTGAAACTGCATTTTATTTTTCCCTTTTTTTTTTTTTAAAGATTTTATTTATTCATTTGAGAGAGAGACAGACAGAGAAAAAGCATGAGCAGGGGAGAGAGGCAGAGGCAGAGGGAAAAGCAGACTCCCTGCTGAGCTGGGAGCCCAACATGGGGCTCGATCCTAGGACCCTGGGATCATGACCTGAGCTGAAGGCAGATGCTTAACCATCTGAGCCACCCAGGCGCCCCCTGAAACTGCATTTTTTAATATGTTCCCCACATAGAAGCTGTAATAGTCTTTTGTCTATACTTTGAGGAATATTAGAGATAAAGCCTTCATAATATAGTTTAGTTTTATTATTTATTTAGTTATATATATAATATATAATATATATAATAATATATACTATTATTTAGTGATATTATTTGTTTCATTTTAGTTCTTGCACTTTCTCTAATTTTCTCCTAGGACTGTTTCTGTCCTCTAAACATTTACTAAAGCTATTGCCTTTGTTTATTGATGTCTTCTCAGTTCACTTTGTCTGCCTGATTATTCCTTCTCTTTTCAGTCTTAGCTCAGGAGTCACTTCCTTTGGTAATTTTCCTCAGTAAGCCTAGGTTGATCTATGTCTCCAATTGCCTGGGACAGTTGTCGTTTACACCTGTTATCCTAATGTAATCATTAATATTGCTTCCTTTTTCCCTCAGAAGTGTCCTGGTATATATTTTATAATGTGCAGAGACACTTCTTACCTCCTTGGCTGGTGTAGGCTCTTCTCTTTGCACTCCCATGTTAATCTGTAGTTTCTGTATGCGTATTTAACTTAACTACTTTCTTGTTTGGATATTTATTGCCTTCATTAGATTTTGAATTCCAAGATGTCATTGATAATGGGGTTTTCACCTTTTTATTTCTAGTGCTCTGTTTTATGGTGGTATTCAGTACATGTGAATGTTGATCAAACAATATTTAAAAATGTTTTCGGAGGGCATTCCATTCAACCGATGATAAAACATTTGCAGAATGGTTTTTAGATGTCACACAGCAGGATGGTTACTGACTTCTACTTGGTGGTTTACTTTTCTTTGTCTATCATGTTGCATTTACTTACAGCTTTTCAAATTCAATTAATTTATAAACTTTATAAATTAACTTAGCAGAGCTAAGTCAGGAAAATTTTCATTTTAGTTTTTCTGACAGTTATAAGAAATTTTCAAGCATTTGTGGCAAATATTATGAAGTACAGTCTTATAGTATAGCTTTATCTGATATACTAAACTAAAGGTTATACAACTTTTTTTCTAAGTCTTTGGATACTCTTTCAGGATAACTCCAGGTACAGAAGAAATTCCAGTAGTTAAAGATAGGATTTGATGAACTGTGGCCCATGGAAGGGTTGCCTGTTTTAGAAATAAAGTTGTATTAGGACCAATTGTATCCATTTGTTTTACATATTGTCTATGGCTGCTTTTACACTACAATGGCAAGAGTCTAGTAGTTGCAACAGAGACCGTATGGCCCATAAGTCTAAAGCATTTACTACCTGGCCCTTTACAGAAAATTTGCCAACCCATGTAAGAGCGTAGGAGGGCTGACAATTAAAATGATCATAGCTAATATTTAATGAGGCTTACTTCATCTCAGGCAGTATTGTAAATCAGCGTGTGTATGAATTCATTTCATCCTTACAGCAATCCAAAGATTTAGGTGCTGTGATATATAGTTTTGTGGGTTGTGCACTGCAATAAGTGTTTGGCTACGGGGTTGAGTGGGAGCTGCAATCTAGTATATGTTTACACATAGTAAGCTGTGTGCCCTGCCATAGAGTTCTAATGGGAGGAAGAGAGACATAACTACTAATCACTTTTGAGCTCACAGAACTGCATATATTCAGAGGGGCCACTGAAATAGACAGATTTTTCTACTTTGATGCCCTGTGGGAAGTACCTTCAAAAAATCCACACAAAGGAGCTTTATAGGCATGCTAATGATGGTGCTGACATATTTCTTACTTCACAGCGAGGGAAACTGAGGCATAGAAAGATTAAATTATTTACCTAAGTTAACCCAGTCATTAGGTGGCAAAGCTAGCATTTGAATCCAGACAGAATGGCTCTATCTGTGCATTCTAAATGTCACGGTCTTCTGGTCAGCTCTCATGGGACAGTGGTTGACGGTAGTAAAAATTTATATATGAGAACAACACTTCCTAGTAGTATAGCATTCCAAGTGTACACAGTGAGTAGTACTAGCATACTATGGGACCAGCTAGTGTTTGCAACCCCTTTCTCACCAAAATGTTTGCCTGGTATTTGGGAAATTATTTATCTCTAGAAACTCACTTCTGACAAAACAATGGAGCCAGTGCAAAAATATAAATGTGCTTTTATAGAATGGAATGATAGAAGAATTTGTGAAGATATTATATCTGCTATTTTTTGCACAGTCTATCATGATTCCATTTTTAATTGGTGTAATAGAAAATTATTCTTTTTGTTTTCATAGTACTTTTCATTTTAGAGTATAAAATAACAAATGATATTAAAATATTGCCATGAATGAGTAAATGTTTATATCTGGATGTATGCAGTTTGCATTGAAAAAAATGCATGTATTTGATCTTTTTGACTCTTCCTACAAGGACATGGTGGAAATGGTTTCTTGAAATTTCAAGATTCTGAAGAAATTACCAACATAGAACTTGCAGATGCTTTTGAGCAAATGTGGCAAAAAAGACGGTAATTAGCAAATGACTACTTTTCATAAGATAAATTAGTACCTAATTTTTCCATGGTTAGTAGATTTGTAGATCCTATTTTATGAGATTTTAACTTACTTTAATAACTTCTTCTACTCTTTTAGATTTATGTTTGTTATTTCTACTGAACTATTTTTAAAAGAAACCTAGGTGTTATTAAAGAGCATAAAAAAAGTTAACCTTTTAAGATCATCTCTCTGTTATTTAGCAGTGTTTTTGGAGGAAATAAGAGTCCCACCAATCAAGTTCCCCATTATGTAGGGGGATTGTGAACATATATTTATTTTCCAACTTTAGCCTATTGTTACATTTTGTACATTCTCTGACTCTCCACATGATAGCAATACATTATTTCTTCTTTGGAAAAAGTGCTGAAATTATGATTAATATAATATTTGTAACCTAACTCACATTAAGAATGATATATTGTTAGTAATCCATGGTAAGCACCTCTCTAGTTGAAAGTTGTCATATGAACGTGAGTGAATATAAAGCAGTAGAAGTGCTTTTAACTTGATTACCTTCAATAAACACTTACGGGTTACCTTCTAAACACATGGTGCAGGAAGGAATATGATGCTTATTCTGCCTTCACAGTGTTTAAAATCTAGTGGAAAAGAGAAACGTGTATACGACTCTTCTACAAATTAAATGTAAATATTGAATTACATGTATAAGCAGAATGAATGGAAGTGTCAAAGGGAAGCTTTTGCTAGGTACTGGTTTTATCTTAATTCACAGTTTACATTTACTGGGTGTATACTAGGTGCTAGGCGCTGTTTTATATATGCTGTCTCATTTAATTTCAATAACAACCCCATGAGGTATATATACTGTTATTATTCCTATTTTCACACATGAGTAATTTGAGGCATAAATAGATTCAGTAACCTGCCAGTCCAGCACTGGGACTCATTCCTAAGTGCTCCAGTCGTAGAGCTCTTTGAATTGTTTTACACTACTGCCTCTCATAACCTTAGATGTTTCTGATCCTCAGGGGCCTCCACAGATTTTTGTCTGAGAACAAATATGTCATATGAATTGTTTCTTTTATCACCTGCTTAGTTATTGTGGCCCAAGATTGCTTGCTTTCTTTTCTAGGTGCAATGTTAGCTGTTTACCTAGATCCAGTGTCTGAGAGAAACCTTTGAAAAACGTTATCTGCTCCCTAGTTTCACCAGCTAGGCAGCACATTCTAAATACAGAGCCGATTATGTTATTTTCACTTAAAAAAAGCCCTAGTTGGCTTCCTCAGACTTACAAGATAAGATCCATACTTCATATGGGATACTACATGGATTGACCCTACCCTACCTTTTTTTTTTTTTTTTGAAGATTTTATTTGTTTATTTGACAGAGATAGAGAGAGAGCACAAGTAGGCAGAGTGGCAGGCAGAGGGAGAGGGAGAAGCAGGTTCTCCGCAGAGTAGGGAGCCCGACGTAGGGCTCGATCTGAGGACCCCGGAATCATGACCTGAGCTGAAGGCAGCTGCTTAACCCACTGAGCCACCCAGGCACCCCTACCCTATCCTACCTTTTTGAAACTAATTTCCTCCATTTCTCCAAATTTACTGTAAATCCTAACTACATAGTACTATTCCCCTTTTCTGAAACAATTCTACTTTTTCAAATTTAGGTGCCTTAGTAGAGCCTTTTTCCTCTCCTGGAATGTGCTATTCCTTTCTTTGTTAGTTAAAATAACTCACCCTTCATTGCTCAGGCCGGACATCACCTTTCTGTGACGTGCCTTTCTTTACATTTCCCTCTCTTCCTTTCTCAGTGCTCTTAGAGCACTTTGACTTTGTTAGACTCTAAGCTTTATGAAGACAGGGACTGCTGCTGTATCCTCAGCTTAAGATCAGGCGTATTATAGGCTCTAATAACTATTTGTAACTCTTACCACATTCCATTTGGTTAAATGAAGTCTCTCCTCTCTTCCAGTTAGATTTTAAGCTTTTTGAGTATGGTGACTAAGTCATATATGTTTTTTCCTGAATCTGGCTCATTTTCTAGGACAGCTGGGGTGCCAAATAAGTGTTTTTTGAATTGAGTATTCATTTGGATTCTGAATCATGTGGCCAAGATGAGGGAGGGGGAGAGATTTGGGGCAGCCACTTTGTGGTACAACCTGTTGAGGTAGTTTCCTTGGACAGGATTATAGCTTTAATATTTCTAATATCAAATTTGTATTGGGAATTCTGAAAACTCACAAATTTTTAACTAATGAAATGAGTAAGATATGCTTTTAACATCTTCTGTTATGCAAGTATTATAAAAATATTGATGTTTGACTAACAGCATGATTCATGTTAAAGATAGTACCACTTTTCTTTCAGCTACAACGAGTTACTGTTTATTATTGATACTTGTCAAGGAGCATCCATGTATGAACGATTCTATTCTCCTAACATAATGGCTTTAGCTAGTAGCCAAGTGGGAGAAGATTCACTCTCGGTAGGTGCATATTTCCCATTTGTAAACTGCATTGTCTTTGGAATATGTAGCTATTTTGGAAATCACTTATATGCTTTATAAATATATCTTAGACTTTTTAATACCTTAGAAGGAAATTTTGATTGCATTTAAAACATTTTCTTATAATGATGCTATTAGACGTATACTTCTTTTTTCTGCTTTGCTTTTAAAAAATTTTATTAAAGTACAATTGACTACAATATTGTGTAGTTTCAGGTGTACAACATAATCATTCAATATTTGTATATATTGCAAAATAATCACCACAATCAGTCTAGTTAACATTTATCACCAGACCCCCCCCAAAAATGTCACCATACATAGTTAGAGAATTTTTCTTTCTTGTGATGAGAACTTTTAAGGTTTACTTTCTTAGTAATTTTTAAATATGCAATACAGTATTATTAACTATAGTCACCATGCTGTACATTACATCCCATGTCTTATTTATTTTATAACTGAAGTTTGTCCCTTTGACTTCCTTCACCCATTTGGTCTATCCTCCACCTCTCATTTCTGGCAACCACCAGTTTGTTCTCTGTATCTGTAAGGTTGGTTTTTGTTCTTTTCGTTGTTTTTAGATTACACATATAGGTGAGATCATATGGTATTTGTCTTTCTCTGACTTACTTCATTTAGTATAATGCCCTCAAGATCCATCCATGTTGCCACAAATAGCAAGATTTCTCTTTCTTTCTTTTTCTTTCTTTCTTCCTTCCTTCCTTCCTTCCTTTCTTTCTTTCTTTCTTTCTTTCTTTCTTTCTTTCTTTCTTTCTTTCTTTCTTCCTTTTTTCTCTTCCTTCCTTCCTTCCTTCCTTCCTTCCGTCCATTCTCTTTCTTTCTTTCTTTCTTTCTTTCTTTCTTTCTTTCTTTCTTTCTTTCTTTCTTTCTTTCTTTTTCTTTCTTTCTTTCTTTCTTTCTTTCTTTCTTTCTTTCTTTCTTTCTTTCTTTCTTTCTTTCTTTCTTTCTTTCTTCTTTCTCTCCTTTCTTTCTCTCTCTCTCTCTTTTTTTTTTTTAGTGCTGAATAATATGCCATTGTATATGCTTTGTTTTTTTGTAGCATCAACCTGATCCTGCAATTGGAGTCCACCTTATGGATAGATACACATTTTATGTCTTGGAATTTTTGGAAGAAATTAATCCAGCTAGCCAAACTAATATGAATGACCTTGTAAGTATTTGCTTGATTTGATTATAGCACATAGGTATGCTTAATGTGATAAGTGAAGTCCTTTACTCCCTGTACTGACAGGGTACTGTTTCTTATGTTGAATGGTAACCTTTTAAACTGTTTTTGAAGATGGTTAAGCATCTGCCTTCGGCTCGGGTCATGATCCCAGGGTGCTGGGATCGAGCCCCACGTCTGGCTCCTGGCTCATCGGGGAGCCTGCTTCTCCCTTTGCCTCTCCCGCTGCTCATGCTCTCTCTCTCTGTATTTCTATGTCTCGAATGAATAAATAAAATCTTAAAATAAAATAAATTAAACTGTTTTTGAGTCTCCCTTTACAGTAATCTCTCTCTCTCTTTACTACAGGAAGCCTAAAGTTTAGCCCAGTTAACTTGTTACTTTCATTCATTTGCTCATGCTCTTTTCTCTACCAGAAATGTACTTTTTTTAGATTCAGCTACTGAAATTCTACCTATTCTTTGGGTGTCAGATCAGACCCCCCAAAGGGGGGTCTCTACCTCCTCTAGGAATAGCTGCATAGTTCTTCCCTGTTGGAATTTAAGTAAGATAAATAAAGTTTTTCAGAGCTTTATTTCTCTTTCCTACCATTTATCATAGTCTGCCTTTTTTTGAACTTATTGAGTGTGAGTATTAGGACATTTTTGGAGGAAAAGGACTTTCTCTTACCTAGTTTTGTCCACCCTTGAACTTCTAGTACAGTGTGGTTTTTTTTTTTTTTTTTTAGATTTTATTTATTTATTAGAGAGAGAGAGTGAGTGAGAGAGAAAACACAAGCAGGGCGAGCAGAGGCAGAGGAAGAAGCAAGCTCCTCACTGATCAGGGAGCCCGATTCAGGCTCGATTCCAGGATCCCGGGATCGTGACCTGAGCTGAAGGCAGACACTTAACCGGCTGAGCCACCCAGGTGCCCTAGTACAGTGTTTTGATGTGGCTTCTTGAATTTAGTTCAGTCTTTTTTCCTGACTTTTCTATGCTGATTGTATCCTTAAATAAATCTACTTTGAAGTTGCTATTGAAAGTAGGCATAATAAATAAGCTTGAAATAGCAATTCTGGATTGGATAATTACTGGGCATATATGACTTTCACTCTTTTTTTCATTAATTTATACCCTGTTCTTTTATTCATAAACATTTTTTGAGCTTTGGCTAAGTGCCCGCCACTGGCTCTATCCTAGTGAAAGAGGCAGACACTGTCTCTACCTTCATGGAGCTTCAAAGTGAAAGGAAGGCTGAGTAGACGGGGCTTGGGACTCTTGCACATCAGCCAAGCTGCTTTGCATTGATGTCTTTTATCAGATAGAAACATTTTGGTAATTTTCTTTTTCATTAAAGAAGTTCTGCAAAATTCTAAAAACCACTGTTATGAGCTATCATATTTGATAACATAGAACTACTTGCTACATTTTGAAGATACATAATTTGATGCCTGTTAAATCTTAATGTGAACTTGTTATAATGCTACTTTATAAGAAAACTATAGTCACCTACGTTCATTACTTTAGTTTTTAAATTTATTCCCATTTTAAATTATATATTGTATATTTTATTTAATATGTGATACACTATGTCAAAAGTTTACAGCATATGCACTTCACACTTCAAATGTCTAATGGATTTTTTTAAAAAAGAACTTATTCCTTTGAAATCATACAGGAAAGACTGAAGAAACTTATGTTTTATTTGTTTATGTGTTTTTTCCCCCACAATTGCTGTATAGTTTTTAATAAACAGTCCTCACTAATATCTTGTGCCCTAGTTCTGTTTTTTTAATTGAATGATGATCATTTTAATCTTGTTCAGTAAGGATGACCCATTTCTTTGAAGTTAAATATTCTAGTGATTTGATATATCTTAAGATGTTATGGAATAATACCTATTCTGTTTATTATGTGTGTATAGGAAAATTTGTTGGGTATCAGCTGTATTCAGAGTACAATATTAGGAGCTTTAGGAGCAGCAAAATTAGAAGACATGGTCCTTGGCCCCTTAACAATTTATAGTGTCATTGGTAACAGCTGAAAAGCACATTTATAGAGTATCACCTATTAAATGAAGTCTTTGTATCTTCCAGGTAATGTTCTTTCTTCTGTGAACATGTAAATTTTGCTATGTACCTTTAAGATGCTTTTAATATCGCTCTGTACTTGTTTATATTTGTGACGTTCCCTCGAGGCTTTGAGGTTCTTAAATAAGAAGTAAAAGGACCATGTGTATTTGTAGATTCTCAGTGAATATTTGGAATGAATGAAAGGACATGACAACCATGCACATTTGTATGGTTCCTTTAAATACAGTGGGTTTGGTGTTTAAAATTTTTCTTGAAAAAGGTAGATTTTCAGGTTTGGAAGAAGAGAAGTATAGCATACTCTAGGAAAATGGAATACCTGCAGAGGCACAGAAGTTGAAATCCTTGTCTTCAATAGTAAGCATGTAATCTGGCTAGAGTATGAAGATTCTGTAAGTGAAGGAGATTATTAAAAATTAATGTTGCTGAGGCTAAGGAAATCAGATTGATAGGATAAAATATCTTGAAGGAAGGAATAACTTCATAGAAAGTGGAAGTATGATCATTTTAGCAGCAGGAAGATAATACTTTTTATCTTTTTTTTTTTTTTTTAATTAATTTATTTGACAGAGAGAGAGAGATAGCAAGAGCAGGAACACAAGCAGGGGGAGTGGGAGAGGGAGAAGCAGGCTTCCTGCCAAGCAGGGAGCCTGATGCGGGGCTCGATCCCAGGACCCTGGGATCATGACCGGAGCCGAAGGCAGACGCTTAACGACTGAGCCACCCAGGCACCCAATACTTTTTATCTTGTCCCAAGCTCATTCACCTATGCTTTTCCTGGTTTCTTCTGCTGGTGCCTAAGAAAGCCCACCAAGTTGCTTGCTCATACAGGAATGCCTTCAGTATTCATAGGACTTCAATCTTATCTTTGTGTATTTTGTTTTATCTTTTACTATGTTTCTTCAACCTTCAGTCTGTATTGTCCTTCCTGTTTGGCATTTTACTTTCTTGTAAAGTAAGTTTGGCATTTTACTTTCTTGTAATGTAAGTTTGGCATTTTACTTTCCCCATCCTTTTTGCCTTCAGTGCTTCTTAATTTATATTTGATCTCTTCTTTGTATTTCCTTTTATTGTTTTCCTGAACCAGGAAGGTATTGTGTGATATTAGGCCAATTACTTAATCTTTCTGAGCTTTAGTTTGAAGTAGAGATAATAATCTTTATATACCTCAAAGTTATTGGTAGTTTAAATCAGAGTATCTACAAATTGCTTTGCACAGTGCTTGGATCACTATGCTTCATAAATTCTAGCTGCTCTGCCCTTCCCCACCCATCTCCCATCATATTGGTGATTATCTATGCATATTGTCTTGTCTCCATAGGTGGGCAAGTGCTGTGGGCTGTAGACGCTTACTAGCAGTCCTGTCATGGTTTTCTTCGTACATCCTGTGGTTCTGCCAAACTAGGTTATTTGCCTTACACATCTTTGCAGCTGCTCCTTGAGAATGTTACTTTTCATCTGTAATCTCCCTTTTCCTTCAGAATGTAGCTTAAATCCCACTCCTTTTTTCTTATCCTCACGCTATGAAAAGTTTATCCTTTTCTGAAGTAGAACCTGTCACCTTCTTTTTCTACCTTGTTATGTTTATTCATCTCTGACTTGACTTAAAGCCTGAGGATAGGACCATGTTCTGTCAACTTTTGTATCCTCTGTGGAAGATAACAGTATGAAATATATGTAGTAGATATTTTTTCTGCTTTGCTGAATGAATGAGTACATGTCTGTCCTTGGTAATTCACTAATGTGGAATATCGGGGATATGATTAACACAGACATCATCATGAGATCTGTGTGAGATGAAGTCATGGTTTTCAGGCTGTATTCTTTGAGCACTAGAGTATCTGGAGGTGCTTGGATTTATTCTCATTATGGCTAAACTAAGAAAGTTACTGTTCACTGAGATGAATGTAGATGCAGAAAAAAAGCAATTCTTTTCATAGTGTTACATGTAAGTTCTCAGTAAATTTAAAGTTCAAAATATATTTTGTAGCATATGATGCAAAAAAGTGAAATTTTTTTCCCCCTACCTGGCTAGCTTCCCTTTTTCTCACCTGCTCTAATGTCTGTATAGCTTTCTTAGAAGGTCAAGTACTACTATAGCATTGAAACTTTAATCTTTAGAATCAGTAGCTTCTTTAGGTTGGGAAAGCTTTGAGAATACACTACAGTCAGGGTGCTAAGTGGGTCAGTCAGTTGAGCGTCTAACTCCTGGTTTTGGCTTAGGTCATGTTCTTTGGGTCATGGGATCGAGCACCATGTTGGGCTCCATGCTTGGTGGGGCGTCTGCTTGGGATTCTCTCCCTCTCCCTCTGCCCCTTCCCCTACTCACTGACTCTCTCTCATAGATAAATAAATCATTAGAAAAATACACTACAGTCTACTATACTGTATTATTGAATTGATAAAAGTTGTATGTGTATGTGTGTATTTATTATTGTTATATATATGTTTTTCAGTTTCAGGTATGTCCTAGAAGTCTCTGTGTGTCTACCCCTGGACATCGCACTGATCTTTTTCAGAGGGATCCTAAAAATGTCCTGATAACTGATTTTTTTGGAAGTGTACGGAAAGTGGAAATTACAACAGAGACTATTAGTTTGCAACCAGATTTAGAAATCGTGGAAAGCAGGTATTCATCTTGAATTAATATTTTATTAGAATATTCTAGTCTCATAATTTGTAAATTTTTATGTAACATGATGTTACATAATATTAAGAGATGAAAGTTGTTGTTTGTTAATAAAATTACACATTTCTACCCAATCTTCACCTTATGTAGGCCCTACGCCTTTCAGGTTTATGGGCAAAAGCTATAAATATTAAGGGGAAGCTACGATCATGATTAAGATTATGTTGTAGCTCCAAAATACAGTGTACATAGTAGTGATTTGAGGCCTGCTCAAAAGGAACCAAAACTTGCCTTGTAAGTGGCTGAGATCCATACTTTTCATTAGTGGAGGTATGTATAATGGTTCATAAGAGCCTTCATGAAAGGGCAGGTGTGCAAATGTTTCGAACATTAATACTCTAATGAGCGTGTATGCTTTCACCTATTGCAGTAGAAGGTGTTACCTGAAGTGACATTGAGTAGGGAAGTTGGCAGCTGGGCATTTAGAGTGTAATAAGGGCCCTAGGAATCTGGCAGATGTAAGGCAGATAAACATAAAAAGGGGAAGTGAGTGCCAAAACTATGTAGGTGCCAAATATATATTTTAGACTATAACACAGTGCTTCCATGTTCAGAATTTCTGTGGGTTCCAGCAATCTGGTTACTTCTCTGACTGCCATATATTTTGGTTCCTAGAGTCTGGGTGGTTTGTGAGCTGGGGTTCAGTGGTATCTCGGGCTTTTCTCTAGTGTTATATTCTATTAATCTGGAACAATTTATCTGGAGCTATTGTAAATTTGGAGTGACCCTCTCATCAACAGGTGCCACTGTTTCTGCTTTATTTAGGGGCTCTTGGTAATTCATTAGGGAAAGGATGGGAGGTATACACCAGGTTCTCCTTTCTTGGGGGAGTTGATGCTGTGTGAGTGTGCAGTGAGTGTGCGTGCATGCACACGTGTAGATGTGTGTGTTTATGTGTGTGAGAACGCACAAGCAGGAGAGAAGGAGATTGAGAAAAATTGGTTGATTTGGAGTATGTGAATTTTAGAAATATTTATAATGTTTCATTTGTTTTATTTCCCTGTAAACATTTTTAAAGGCAAAATACTTTGTTAGGATTAAATAGTGTCTCCGTTAATAGCCTCTTTCTTGAAATATATAGATGATATATTTTACTAGCATTAAACTTTGTTATTTGTGATTATCTAATGCTATCTATTGGAAACTCATACTCCTAGGAACTTTTCTGGACTGCTAACTGGCAACATAAATTACTCTCAATTTTGAAAATTTCAAAGACTTGTAATTAAGCTTACACATGTTTTAGGAATAAATTTAAAAATTAGCACAAAATGCATTTTTTTTGAAGATTTAAAATTGATATTATTAATTATTTCCTATTCTGGATATTCAAAGCCTTGGATCTTTTCTTTTCCAATTTCCTATAGCTATTGGCTTAAAAATATTTTTTAAGACATCAGATGAGGGACGCCTGGGTGGCTCAGTCGGTTAAGCGTCTGCCTTCGGCTCAGGTCATGATCCCAGGGTCCTGGGATCGAGTCCCGCATCGGGCTCACTGCTCTGCGGGGAGCCTGCTTCTCTCTCTGCCTCTGTCTCTCATGAATAAATAAATAAAATATTAAAAAAAAAAAAGACATCAGATGATACTCTACAGCAATATCACTTTTATTTGTTATTTTGTTATATTTTTTAAGATTTTATTTATTTATTTGAGAGACAGAGACAGAACAGCATGAGCAGGGGGGAGGAGGCAGAGGGAGAGGGAGAAGCAGACTCCCTGCTGCTGAGCTCCATCCCAGGACCCTGCGATCATGACCTGAGCTGAAGGCAGATGCTTAACCGAGTGAGCCACCCAGGCGCCCCTTATTTGTTATTTTAAATACTGAGTTTCAGATTACCCTTGTGAAATAGCTAAACCATATGTTAATACTTAGCAACTAAAATTGAAATGTCTTTTACCAAATTTATTTTGTAATTTTCCTTGAATTTAAGCCTATGAGATTATAAGATACACCTTCTCTTACCCATCTGAACATTGTATTAATTTACTTTAAAGGCTAGGATCATCTTTATACTTCTTCTGAACTTATTTTCTATTCTCTCAACTTTTAACACAATATAAAATAATGCAATAAGTATACAATAAAAAGTTATTTCAATGGAATCTGAGTTTCATATATTCTGGAAGAATGGAATTTTGTCTCATAAGTTATCTCCGTGTATTAGTTCAAGAGCAAAAATTGTTGGTGCTGAAAATTATCTTAATTTATCTTTAATTGAGGAGAAAATTTTGAGCATTAAAGCCAGACACCAGGCACTGTTATAGCACCCTCTAGTGTTTATAAATAAATTTTATTTAGAATATTGTGTACAGATGGTTTCATGATCACAGGTGTATGTTATCCAATTAATTTAGGAGATTAAGTTTCCAGCACACCTCAGGAATTTTTAAATGGATGCTACAAATATTATCTCATTGTACGTAGGTGGTATTTATATGCAAGTAAGAATGGCAACCGGATATTTGTTTAGAGAAAATTATATTCATGAGAGATCAGATATCACAAAAAATATTTTATTAAGAAAATTATGGGTTAGGATGTATATGTATTTTTTCAGATCTTAGGTTAAAAATGTCAATATAGTCACTGTTAATAAAAGTGGCAGTTATGCTTTTAAAAATATTACTGTTTACATATGTTAGGAAAACAATGGAATTAATTCATTTAGACTATTCATATTTCATATTTTGCATACAAGAATATACTAGACCAAACTCAGATATGATGGAGAACCTTAGTACGTAAAATTGACTGATGTTATGGTATGTATGATATTGTTACACGTCTTCTGAAACAGATATTGAATAAGGTACAGTCATGAAGTTAGTAACAACACTTTGTTTCTGCATGTGTCTTAGTAGTTGTGTGATTAATTTGTTTGCAAGAACAGATGGCATAAAATAAGGATTGATTGAAGTAAGTTTGGCTTATATAACTTGATTCTATATTGCTTCAATTGAGTATACATAGGTTGGCTTTTTATAAGTATGTGGACAACAGCCTGCCCTCCTGAAGGAGTTGGGCTTTTTAGAATCTAGTGATAAGTCCATGTTAGCATTACTCAGATTACCAGTTTTGTGTCCTTACTGTATGGGGAAAATAGCCTCTGGCTTGTGGATGTCAAAAGATAGGCACATTTTAATGTTACAAAATGTAGAAGTCTAAATTCAGTAGGCATTGCCCAAGAAAAAAGGGGAATCCAGGACAGAATTAACTGTAAAGATTGAACTTTTATCGTAGTTGGTTAGATGAAAACTTACCTAGTCTGACTTTTGCTTTAGGCTCTAAATTTGGGCACTTGATTTTGTTTATGAATGTTTTGTTGCTATAATTTTATTGTTATACTAGAATTTCTTTCTCTTTTGAGACAATCTTTAGCAATTGAAATTTTTTGAGTCTAGCAGGAAATTTGAGACTGGACTGTTTTCTTACAGATTTCTTACAGACCTCCAACAGAAGGGTAGAATATGGCCTCCTCAAGGTCAGTCTGTGTTTTGAACACCAGAGTAGGCCTCTTTCAAGGGCTTGTTAAGGGAGTCCCCACCTCATGTACATCAAAGATCAGACAGTTGCTGCCACCGTCATTATATTTTGAGCCCTTTCTACTTGCTTCATGCTTTGTATGACACATTAGCCAGGACTGTTGAGTTGTAAATAATGGGATCCAACCTGAGCTACATTATTTCCTTAGGGACATTTGTTACACAGATAATTCTGTGTTTTATGGAACCCAAGGAGTGACCCTAGGAAGGGACTGGAAACAGGAACCGGATGTCAGAAGCAGAGGCAGCACTCTCTTTTCTTTCTCTGCTGCTCTGGCCATGTAGGGAGTAGAATGTGTACACACCACTGCTCTGGAGATTTATATCTCTTCTGTTGATGATAAAGCCCAGATAGGCAATGAACTTGCTCATTCCTGATTCCAAGCTCCCTGGAGGGCATCGTAAATTAGCCCAGCTTGGGTCAGGTAGCTACCTTTGGTCCAGCTGGGCAGTAGTGGAGTCGTATCACACAAAATAAGGGCTGCTGGGGAGCCCACCCAGGTGTGTAAGACCCCAAACAAGGTCTTGAGAGCTAGGCAGATATCCTGCTGAGGTGTTTATATTAATCTCCTTTTAATTCACATGATAACTGATGAGGCAGATATAATTTCCTCATTTTGTAGATGAGTAAACTGAGGCTGAGAAAGGTTAAGAAACCTGCCTGAAGTCACACATCTAACAAATGGTGGAGCCAAGATATGAATCTGGGAATGCCTCATACTTCTAAGAAATATATTCTTATTTTAGTCTCTTATAATTTACCTTGAGCTACTTGGCTTGCTTGCTTTTTAAAGGATATAAAATATAAATGATATTTCATTGATGAATTTTCACAAAACAACTGCTCATGTAACCACCAGAAAAAGAAATAGAATAATGTTGGAAGCTCCCTAACCCCTGTGTCCTTCCCAATCTCTATCCCTATCAAAGTTAACCACTATCCTAATTTTTATGGAATTTACTTTCTTGCTTTTCATTTTATATCACCTAAGCATGTATCCCTAAACATTAAGTTTTGATTCTTTTCCTAATATTATATTTTTAGAATTCATTTATGTTGTGTGCAATTGTAGTTTGTTCAATTTTTTTTTAAATATTTTATTTATTTATTTGACAGAGAGAGAGAGAGAGAGAGCAAGAGAGGGGACACAAGCAGGGGGATTGGGAGAGGGAGAAGCAGGCTTCCCGCTGAGCAGGGAGCCTGATGCGGGGCTCGATCCCAGGACCCTGGGATCATGACCTGAGCTGAAGGCAGACGCTTAACAACTGAGCCACCCAGGTGCCCCTGTTCAATTGTTTTGAGTTTTTAAAAATTGCAGTATAATTTATTTACAGTAAAATCACCCTTTTTAGTATATAGTTCTGAGTTTTGGCAAGTGTATACAGCTGGATAATC